GCAACAGAGCAAGTGAAAGAGTGATCACCGTGTGTGTGTGTGTGTTTTTTTTTTTTTAATGTATTTAATTCATAAAATCTTAAATTTCGAAAAAACATAATATTTAAAAATATTTAATATTTGAAGTTTTGTTTGATTTTAAAGATATTTTGTAATCAAATTCACTCATTTGATAAAGATAATTTTGATTTATTAATTTATATATAATTATTATATTTTTCTTGATAAGATATAGATAACTTTTTATTTTGTTTTAATAAAAAAAACTCAAACGAAAATTGATATATTTAGTAATAAAAAAAATAAAAATTTTAATTTTTTAATTAAATATACTTAATTATAGCATTTAACCTGACAGCAAGCCGTGATTATTATATTAAGATATAAAAAAATCAATTATAGCATCTAAAAGAAGTGAACGCCTTATTTACTATTGTAAATATATTGAAAAAAAATTAAAAAAAAATTGTTTGTTAAAAAAATGCTTTATTTAAATTTGTAAATATTTTAAAAAATCATCTATTAAATAAGGTGTTTGTAAAAGAAAACATTTTATGTGAATGGATTTTATAAATATGTTGAAAAGATATTTAATAAAATGTTTGTTAAAAAAATACCTTATTTGCTTTTGTAAATATTTTAAAAAATTATCTATTACATAAGATGTTTGTAAATAGATCAAATAAAACGTTTGTTCAAAAAAACTTCTCATTTGATGTTTTTATAAATATTTTAAAAAATATACATTTGTTCATAAAAAATATCTTAATTAATTATCAATTAAAATGTTTAAAAAAAAACTCTTTAATTGAAATCAATTAAGACATTTTTTCTCTAAAACGTTTTAATTGTCACGTATTAAAATTAAATTAAAAATAAAATAAATTAAAAAAAAGTTAAAAATTGAGTTTTAAACTTTTTTTTTTAAAGGATAATGGATATATAATAAATTTTTTAATCAAGTTAAAATTAAAAATAAGATAATTTTCTTCTCCAGAATATTAAAATAGCACAAGATAAAATTAAATTTTTAATTTTAAAACTTTAAATATTATTAAAATTTTGATATTTTTTCCAATCGAATTATTTTAAACAAACATTGAAAACAAATACTCACCGACCAAATTTTTAAAAAACTTTTGTGGGTTCTCACGAAACAACCGCCCTTTAGACTCTTTTAATGATCAAACAGTTAGATGACCCCGACTCCACCTTCAAAAAACAGTTATATCTGATTCCACCCCAACCTTAGCCCACATCCATGCCCAAAAATCCATCTTCTTCACATCTCTGAGTTTCAGATTCTTTCCCCCAAAGTTCCTTCTTCTCGCCTTCAGTACCCACAAGTCGCTCCACATCAAATTCTTGTTCATTTTGCTTCTCCTTTGCCACTCGATTCTTCTCCACCCCAAAAACCAGGGTGTTTTTGGTGTTCTCCCCAAAGGCTTTATAAGAAATACAACAAGGAAAATAAGGTGCTGGATACTGCTCTTGATTCTGATGAATTTCTATCTGATTTGGCTACTTTTTCGATCAAAGAACAGAAAAAGATGGTCAACAAGGCAGTCAAGGAACAACACAAGATTAGAAAGGAGGCAGAAAAGATAGTCAATTGGGCAAAGCAGGCTTCCGCAAGGATGATCTTTCATGGTATGGAAGATTATCTGAGTCACAGTGATGATGAGCCCGCAAAATGAGTGTTGTAAGGTGGCTTGAAATTTCATAATCAGCAATGAGAAATATTTGCAGTCTCCTTTGTCGAAGCCAACCTTTGATAAAGTCTACAGCTTTCATTCATTCTACATGCCAAAAAACAAGCCTTCATTGAAAGCCATTGTTTCATCATTTCCAGTCATACCCTTGTTTAGCTATTCTAATCGTATTACCTCCTTTATCTTGATCTGTTACATGCTAATTGCTGTACAATGTACTTTGTAATACTATTTCATTATGCTCATATGCTTGCTGAGTGATGCTAATGGAACTTGAATGCAACTTCATATAGTTTTCAACGCCTACTTCCCTGTCATCCAACTATTCCTACTCCTTAATTTCCATGTATCATGGGTTATTCAAATTCTATATCGGAATTCAAGGATTTGTTTTTTCTGAATTAATTTCTTTTCCTGAATTTTGATAGTTGAATTGAGGTTCTTCTTCTGGTTAAAAAAGAAAACCTTGCTGCCATCGAGTTGCCTGGTTTTAGGTCTTGTCGCTTAGGTTACTTTCTATCTTAAAATGGGAACTGCAGTCTGCAGGGGTTTGATTTCCATATATGCCACCTCACTATGAAAAAAATTGCCCATTTTTTTAAATTGCTGAACCTAATAGCTTTGATAAGGTTACAGATTTCAGTGCTAGCATGGTAAGTCATCTTTCAAAACATTGAAAGAGAATGGACTTAAGAACTACGATTCTGAAGTATACGCTCACTAGGTGCGATTAGCAGTCAGGAAGTTCAGTATTTATCTGCTGAATGACTGCTGAGAATGCTAACAGGTTACAAAAATTTCAGAAACGTACACCAAGCTACCTGATTTTGTGGAATTTTGATGGATAACATGCTTTATGTCGGTATTACTTCAATTAATATAATCTCCTCACAATAAGGCCAACTCACACACATCAAAGCAGGTTTTGTTGCAAAATTCTCACCTTTTGGTGGCAATTTATCATTATAGTTGCATGTTTCTTTGTTTTTTTTTTTTGGCCAAGAACTTGTTGAAAGCCTGTGTTTGGTTCACTTTGGTATTTTATTATCACAAACAGGAAAAATGCTATGATGGGCATTCCGTGAAGAGTCAGGATTTCCATGTGAAATGGTCTAGGCATGCCTTTCTTGTTCTTCAATCTGAAAACTTCTAGATGGATTAGCTGCATGTTTATGGCTTTCACCTAAAACACATACGATTTTTATAGCCTAGTAAATTGAGGATGGGCCATTTTTTTATTTTAATTTTATATCATAGAGTAAGCCTATTCTATCAATTACATAAGACTCGATCAATCTTAAGTTAGATTTGTAGCAGATATGCATTAAAAATCCACCAATTTTCTTTCCTTTTATCCTTTCATGCTGCTTGGGAATTGGGACTTCTTAGTAGTCAAACTTTCAGCTATGTATATTGTTTGGATTATGTGTAGGAACCCTGGTAATCTCATGATCTGCAACTGATTTTAAGCATGATGTAGGACTTCGTTCTTTCAATAAGTTATAGTTTGGTGAGAAGGTGATGGCTGTCAAGATCTAAATCCAAATTCATGGTGAAAACTAATTAATTTGTGTCATATCGTGTTTATTGTCAACCCTTCCTCTCTCCCTCTCTCTTTCTTCTGATAGGTTTCTTACCCTCCCTTTTGGAAATCATGTTTTAGATTTATAAATGCTTTTAACCATATATAGACAACAACCTTATTTTGAGCTTAGCATACTAATTAATTAATTAGTTTCTTTTGGGAGGGAAAGGAAATGACATTGTGGCCTTGAAATTAACATGGTTTGGATGTGCAAGATGAGTAATCTGATATTTAACGTAAACTATATAAGGTAAATGGCATTTTGCATATCATATCTAAGATTTGATGCAGAAATTAACCTTGTATATGTACTTTTGTGGATTGATTTTCAATTGATGAAATAATCAAGGTTACCTAAACGTTGGAATCCTAGCCTAATTGGTAGTACACCCAGTCCCTGACTGAGTAGCTTGACTTTCGGTTGCCACCTGCAAGAGTGAATATTTCTGGCTGCATTTAGCATAAGTTTCTATCAGGCATGTGCTCTGGCAATCGCCCGAGGCAGAGACCAAGCAAGGAATTATGCTGGGTTTTTGTTACATTGAGATGAATATAGATGCTAGATGTATAATTCACTCAAAGAAGATGGGACAGGATAGGATGGTAGATATTAGATCTTTGTTGTCTAAGTGTTCCCTAGAGAAAATACATAGATTGCTTGAAAAGTTTAAGTAGCTTATCACTAGAGCATACATATATAGAGTGGTTTGAATTAATAGTAGACCGAGTTAGCTCGACGAAAGTGGCTTCTGGGTGGGAAGTATGTGTGACAATTAATTATTTTACTTTTTGCATTCAATAATGGAAAATTTCAGCAGTCTTTTGTAGTTAAAAAAGGTTGCCTGCTTGCGATGGAACAACATGGCTTTCCTATATATATATATATATATATATATATATATATATGTATGCATATATATCCCCTTTTCGGCTCCTCATGCAATTTAGCTGGGTAAATAATTAGAATGGCTTAGATGAAATTAAGAATGAAGATATGTAGATAGGGGCCGGCGGTTACCAGAATCTGTACGGTCCATGCATGGCATGCATGATGTTTAATTAAATGCAAATTAAGAAGGTAGATTAATTTAACCCCCAAAGAGCATCTATTTTCAAATTACCAAATGCTATTTATTTAATATTATATAGAAACTAGTATCAATAAAGTAATTATTACATATAGAGAAATTTGTCATCATGAGAAAGAAAATAAATTTAGAAGAGTTTTATATTTCCCAAAAAAAGGGAGTCTTATTATATTTACTCTATGCCTCCTTTTTCTGGCGTATGATTTTACTCCATACAAGAGTAAATTAAAGTTCATCTTTGGCCCAAAAAGAAATTATAGCTCATCAATAAATGTAAATTTTTTGTATTCTTAATTATAAAAATGATTTGTTGGATGAGATATCCGTATTATGCATCAATCAAATTAGAAAAGATTTATAATTACCTTAAACTAACGGCTTCCCCGCAGATATAATAGCATATATAGATAACGTATAAAATTAATTGATGATTGATTAATACACCAAAGTCACTAATCATTAATGATTGAATTTCTCTACTTTGAAATTCCCTATTTTCGTTTCAGCTCATTACTGCTAACTTTTAATCTTCCTCCGATCCTCATCTAGCTATAAATATTTCTGCAAGCTTTGCTTGTATTTCATCTCTGATCAATCTCTCAAAAACTTAAAATCATGGCCTCAACTTTCGGAGACTGTTCAGTCTTGTCTGCTGTTGTTTTACTCATGTCAATGTGCATATGCTTTACTCAGTTGTTGGCGTTTTCAGTTGCCGAAGCAATCCCTTCCGGCTTTAGTGTGAACCTGATACACCGTGACTCCCCAGTCTCCCCGCTGTACAACCCTCTTGAAACCCGGTTTGATCGCTTGTACAGTGCTTACAACCGCTCTATCTCTCGCATCAATCGTTTCAGGCCAACGACTCCAAAGGCAGTCCAGTCGGATATAGTACCAAGCGGTGGAGAATATTTCATGGAAATTTTCATCGGAACCCCACCATTTTCGGTGCTTGGAATAGCCGATACTGGCAGTGATCTCACCTGGGTTCAGTGTGAGCCTTGTGAAGAATGTTACGAGCAAAAGCCTCCTCTCTTTGATCCCAGGAAATCCTCCACATACAAGAACGTTCCATGTGAGTCTAATCCCTGCAATGCATTGGATAGCTCTGACAGAGTATGCGACCAAGAGCAGAACGCTTGTAAATACAACTACTCCTATGGAGACCGCTCCTTCACCAAAGGAAACGTTGCCCTTGAAAAGTTCACCATTGGTGTGTCTACTCGCAATCCAGTTTCCTTTCCAAACCTGGTGTTCGGCTGTGGACACAACAATGGCGGCACATTCGATGATGTAGGTTCTGGGATTGTTGGACTTGGTGGAGGTCCCCTTTCTCTAGTCAAACAATTGGGTAAATCTATACGTGGGAAGTTTTCCTACTGCCTGGCTCCCACTGCAGCGGAATCAAATGCTTCAAGCACGATAATATTCGGTACCGCAACGGAATCTAATATAAATGCTAATGCTGTTTCAACCCATTTAGTTGACAAAGATCCCTCGACATATTACTACCTAACATTAGAGGCTGTCAGTGTTGGAGACGAAAGGTTGGCCTACGGCGGATCATCTTTATCACCAACGGAGAAAGGCAACATCATCATCGACTCCGGGACAACATTGACCTTCCTGGAGTCAGAGTTCTTTAACGGTCTTGAATCCGCCGTGGAGGACGCAATTGGGGCCAAACGAGTGAGTGACCCCAAGGGTCTTCTCAGCCCTTGTTTTGAAGTAGAAACAGGTAAGGGCATCGATCTTCCCATAATCACAGTTCATTTTAGTGGTGCGGACGTGAAGTTGCAGCCATGGAACACATTCGCCCAAGTACAGGAAGACATGGTGTGCTTAACCATCATACCATCCAATGATATAGCCATTTTTGGGAATCTGTCTCAGATGGATTTCTTGGTCCGCTACGACCTTGAAGAGAGGACTGTCTCCTTCACGCCAACCGATTGTAGCAACCCTTAGGAGTCGATTGCTATATGCATAAAGTGTGTTGGTAATCTCAAAAAGATGGTATATTATAAGCGCAATACATGGTTGTTTGGTTTACATGTATAATTGGAATATCCACTTGTTTATTTGGGCAGTTATAAATTAATTACCCAATGATGTTTTTCTCATATACGCTCGGGTGATTTTAAAAGAGAGTTTGGACATATAATTTGAAGCTAAAACAAATTAATTCAGGAAAAAGAAAAAAGAAAAAAGAAGATTGGTATTCTTAGCAAATAGTATTTAGAAAGGAGCTGAAGTGAAGTTCTTTTTTTTTTTGACAATAAGAATAGAGTTGGTGCTTAATTGGTGGTTAAAACAACAAAATATTTACCTTTCGCTTTTTTTACTTTTAACTATTCTGCTTTAGTTGTTAGTAGTTAGTAGTTACCACTTGCATTTTAAGTAGATGAACACACACCAATTGAATTCACTACAGGGGTTTTGATTTTTAGTGACATTTTTTTTACTGTTTAGTGGTGTTTATTAATGTTACTATAAGGTTTGCAGCGTTTGCGAAAAATATCACACAGAATGCTACCTATACACGCGTCAAAGTAAATAGTGACATTTTTCAAAAAACGCCTTAATATTAACGGCGTTTATAGATATAAAATGTCACTATTTTAGCGGCGTTTATATCTTTGTGACGCTGCTAAATTAGTGGTGATTTTATGACAAAAAATACCGTTGCTTTGGTGACGTTTGTAACTAAAAACCTTGTTATTTTAGAGGCGTTTGAATATGAAAATACCTCAATATTAGTGGTGTTTTGTATCTTTTAGTCGCCGCTAATTCAGTAATATTTTTATGAGGAAAATGTCGTTGCTTTGGTAACGTTTCTATAAAAAATGTCACCTAACTAGCGGCGTTTGCTGGTAAGAGCGCCACTACTTATAGTGGCCTTTTATGCTACAACTCCACTAAATTATTCATTTAGCAGCATTGCCCAACGCAAATGCCGCTATTATGTAAAAATATATTTTTTCTTAATTTCTTATAATAAATTTTATTTTCAGTAAAGAGCTTAAATTCAGAAACTAAAATTAATATTAACTTCATTCACGTTTAAATATACATCTAATTAATACAAAGTTTAATAATTAGTATAATAACATTCAAATATTTTTAATACATTAACAAAATAAAAAATTAAAATGTATGAAAGAGATAACTACATACATTTTGCTGACTGTCAATTGATGAAGAAAATTTTCACCTTGGTACTAGCGTGCTCATGAACCTACTGAATAATACCATACAATTTTTAACACTTTATTATATATTTTTTTTATTTAAAAATTTTAATATTTACTAAATATAATACCTGAGTTGGTGAAGCACCAAGATCATTTCTTGAAAATTATTGTTACACAAAATTCATAAGATAATCGAATCGATCATGCAACTACTGAAAGTTTGCACCCTCTAGCTCCATTCTAGCACGTTCTTCTTCAATTTTGGCACGCTCATGTTCTTTTTCTGCTTTCATTTGCTGAAAATGTTCTTGCATAGTTTGTAACTCCCCTATCAATATTAAAATGTCTCACGAAAACTGACTTGCTGAGAGTGTAAATTGCGGAGAGTTATGTACATAGTAGGCAGATGGCGTTAGACCCAATCCAAGGCCTCGGACCCGTTTATGCCTTTCTTTTCCAGCAACTTCTATGAATATTCGATTTTTCATTTTTTACATGTTGAGAGAACCTTCAAATGCTACTTCAATCTCAGCAACCATTTTTTCTTTCACTTTTTCTTATGAATTTGTCATATACAAACTATCAAATTTAATGATTAATTGATTATATGTTAAAAACAATAAATATTTACTTTTTGTTAAAATAGATGATACAAATTATCATAATTTTTTGTGTTTCGACATTCATGTAAGATCCATCTTTTTTTGTGTGTGTTACGCGAAAAAGTTTCACATGTCTAATTGTACTGCCCTCCTCATTCTCCTATACAAAAACATATGTTATTTGATAAGATACATATCAACCATAACTTATTTATGCATATCAATCCTATCAATCAAGTATTAAAATTTTGAATAATTTTAATCTCATGTATTTATATTTTGATCCCGTAACAACACAATAGTCTTAAACATACGCAAACAATAAAAGTATTTTAGGCTTTCACACATATCGATCATGAAAACCAAATTCAATTATTTTCTCCTGGTTTAATATGAAGGATTGAAGCAATTCAATATGTTGGAAGGCATCCAAAATTTTAATTTGTATATTTATCTTTTATATGCAAAAATATTTCAAAACGAACACAACTGACAACTTTTTCTCCTATATCAACCATAAAAATCAAAGTTCAATCAATCGGACAAGCTTAATATCAAGTATTGAAGCTATTGAAACTGTTCAAATACAACAATAGCAACAAATCTGTATTAAAGGCATAAATATACATAAACAATAACTTTTCATACATATAATCTGTGTCAACTAAGTTCAAAACTTTCGATAAGTGTAATATCATGTATTGAAACTATCAAATCTATTCAAACAGAACAATAAAAATGTTAATTTGCATATTTACCTTTTAACGACAGAAAAAATTCATTCATTGAAATAAGTTAATTATCATAAACTTACGATTTCTTTTTATTTTCTTGCAAAACTTTTTGATCCACTTGTGTGGCTATATTTTTGTTGCTTTCTGCTATCAATCCCAATCTGTTCTCTTTTCTGTCATAAAAAATAATTACGTATATGATAGAAATACAAATATTACCAACTGAAACCATCAAACACTTTCATCATTTCATTTTATTATACAAAGTTATAAACTAGTACCTCTCATTTTCTTGAGAACCAAAATCTAACAAGTTATTCATATTATCACCTAATCACATTACCGGGTAGATTTTGCATCATCACCTTTACAGTAGTATTTCGATAGAAATATTTATTCTTCAAACTATGCTTGTAATCTTTCCACTTCTTTCCCAATGACTTAAGCACAAATAAAGTTGGTATTTCAAGTACAAATCTTAACTGTAATAATACAATAAAAAAGTTTGAATAAGTAAACAAACTGTAAAATAAAAAATTTGAATATATCTAATTAATTATACTAATACCTTAATAAAGTTTAATGCATCGGCCTTAACTTTTTTTAGAACATTGTGCCATGTTTCATAATGAATAGGCAATTTTATTGCATTACGGGCTAGTATGCCTAGAAATCCAACCAATAGTTGAGCCTCTTCACCAATTGGTTGTCTATCGGAGTTTGCAGACACTACAATACGCTCGTTTTGAGGTAGTGCAAATAATTCCTTCAAAGTTGTCCGGCCTCTAGTCTTCCGTTGACCAGTGTTATCAACTGCAACAAATATCAAATATATTTATAAAATCGTAATACTTTTATCATTATACTCAAATTTTAAAATTGAAGTATATCATACCTGCATTCAAATTTAAAGCATAATCAATCGATGGGGTACTACCTAAACCTGGACCTCCCGTATTACCAGATCCAATATCAGTTGAAAGGTTAGAAGTGACAGAGTTAGATTCAACAGTATATTCATTTGCCTCCAAAAGATTTAGTCCATAGCCAATATCCACAGGTGCCACAAACGGTTCTGAACTAATATCTCTGATATGTTTTCCTTTCAACCTACTTCTTCGCATTGTAGCTTACCTACATCATAAAAGCGAATATAGAAAAAATATTAGTTCAGAACATAAGTAAAGAACATATCGATTTAATTAAATCAAAATATAATGTATGATTTAGAAGACAATAATTATACAATAGTGAATGTGACATTATTTACATACTATTATTTACTACATTATATCTTAAACACTTGAATTTCAAATTATAGATGTCCCATTTCATGGTTCGTAAATGTCTTCAGTAATATTTTTACGTACCCACTGAGCGTAGGTACTGGAGATATTCTCATCCAAGTTTTGTTCAACAAAAGATAACATTTAGTTTTATGTTCACCATCATCTTTGGTATCTAACCTCAAATCAAATAAGTCTCTAGGTGTATTTCAAAGAACAACAAACTAACCCAATTCTTTCGAATCTTCAGAGTAAAATACTATTTTAACTTGAGATGAAAATATATAAGGTTCATCGATGAGTTGTTGTCCAGTGTGAATTAATCGAGAAAATTTCACAAGTGTAAATCTGTACTGATCTTTCTTAATACCTCTCACACTATTCACATCAGCCCAATCACACCAAAATAAAATAACTTTTCACTTGCCATGATAATCCAACTCAATAATGTCATTAATAATGTCATAATAGTCAACATTTTCCTCTAAAGGGTTTGTGTCCCAAGCATTAGCATAGCTAGTAGTTGATGAAGTCACAACAACTCTTGAATCTTGTGTACTTCTAAATCTCTCACAGGATTTAGTGTGAAATCTAAATCCATTAATGATGAAACATTTGTATCTTTTCACAATTCGATTTAGACCGTGTGAAAGACACTTCACCTCTTTACTAGTAAACGTTTCACTCCAAACCTATAAAAGTGAAATAAATATATATATGTTATTAATGTTATTTTTACCATAAGCATTCTATGTAGATAAAAAATAATGAGAAGTATGGCATTACTTATAGTTGCTCCTAACCATTCATGAAAGTTTTTAGTGAATAACTTATCAAGCTCTTAAGAGTTTAATCGTCAATAATGTGTAGGATCTCTCAAATTATTTCTATACTCACTATAAAGTATCATGATAAAGTATTAACAATAAAAAAAACACAATAAATTATGCCTAATGTAATGAATAATTTTCTTACTAAACAACTTACGTGTGAAACAATTCAATTGAGTCATGATGAAAAAGAACATATCGATGTGCTTGTGCTCAATATTTATCATCTAACTCCACAAATTTAGCTTTGCCTACGAGTTGTCCAAAACTTTGAAAAACTAATTGTAGGCCGAGTTTGTATGCTGCATACCAACATTTCTCG